TTTTTTTAATAACATTATATTTAAAGTTCGAAATTTTCTTATATTTTAAATGTAGTTTATAGTGGTATTTTAAAAATGTGCTAGATCAGGAGTTAACTAGTCTAGTGACTCCAGTCAAGGCTGGCTCAAGCTTGACTCTTTAGATCATCGAATTCAGCTCATAAGCCATTTATCGAGCCAAATTGAGCTAACTCACTAGTCAACTGAACTCACTTACACCTCTAAACCTAAATTAAATTATTATTTAATGAGAAGATTTTAAATTTATATTAAATTCACCTTTTGTAACAAAATATCTCACAAATAAAAAAGATTTGTATTTGCTCCAAAATTATTTATTTTAAGTTTGTGCATATAATGGTAATATTATTAAACAATATCCTCTCATTAAGAAGCCAAATGGCATCAAATTACATTTTAATAAAATATTTCTAAATTCATAAAGAATTGAGTATTTTAAGCATTCATAATATTATATATTTTCAATGTTTTCTTATTTTTATCTCTTTATGCTTCACAATGCATGAATTCTTAGCATAAAAATAGTTACAATTGATTCCATTTGCCTAAATCAAAAGTTCTAAGCATGGAGATGGAATCCAATTAGGCCAAAATTAAATCTAGGCTAATTGTTTCCCCCTTATCATTGCCCCGTTATAAAGGCTAATGATTTGTTTGAGATATTTTTCTCATAATAATAATAAATATCATTATATATTGATGCAAATCTCTTCAGACGCTAATTTGAATGCCACCCAGTTTATACTGAGATTAATGCAACAAATGATATCAAATGAATGCACTAATCTCAACATCAAATGGTGTACATCCAAACTAGTCCTAACTTGATTTATGTCTAGTGATTTATTTTTCTAAAATTGTTATAATTAAACTAATAGAATATAGTAGTTGAAAGAAAATTACTCTCGGTATTTTTCAAAAAAAATTATAATAATTATTGTAAAATTTTACTTTTCTCATAATAATTTTTTTAAACATCAAACTTCCCTAAAAAAAAAAACTTAGGTAAAAAATGCCTTTATATGGAAATAAATTTATCATAAATAACATATTTTCAGGACTAACCCAAATGGCATATTAGTAATAAAAAGAATTATGACTAACTAATGCTTGTTATCCAAGACTATTGAATAGCAATGTGGATTTAAAATAAATGCTCCAGCTGTCCAAAGCTGGACATTTTAGTAATTTAACAATCTATGTTTCCAGAACATCATTGACAAGATTAAAGGAAGAGGTCAGCAGTCAACAGAAATCCTATAGAAATAATATTAAGCTTTTAGTCAACAATCAAGTGAATTCTCTTAATTAATCTTTGCTTGAGCTAAATAAAAAAAACTAATTAAAAGCTTACATTTAGAATATTGTTATTATGATAATTAAATATTTTTTTTTCTTCATTTGTGTTGGAAGTAAACAAATTTGAAACAAATAAGAAAAAAATAACGAAAATAGACCCTTAGGATTTATTTTAAAAAAATCTAAAAAATAGAGAAAAGCTATTGAGTTACATCACACCACAACAACAAATTTACTATGAAAAATGAGAAAAATTGTAGGAATCTTTCACACTATTTTTACTCTCTTTTGCAACATTAAAAATCTTTCATACACTGGAGCATACACATTACACGATTCATTTATAACTCTTATAATTTAAAAAGAAAAAAATATTTTGACTCAGTTGGGCCGCAACACCAAGGGGTTAGACTTACAGTGCCACTATGTTGGTTTCTGTATCTCAGAATTGGCCCATATTATTTCAGTGTTGTGCAAACAACATCTTGACACTGCACACTGCTCCCAGCAACTCTCCAACAAGCTCTTCTTTTAACCTCTCCAATGAACTTGACCGATAAAATTGATATCTAAATCGACATTATAATCTTATCGATCAACACAACTACAATCCCCAAAGAACTAACAATTTAAACTGCAATAGAATGATAAGGAGAAATTTTTTTAATATAGATTAATTCACAAAATCAATTTAAGAGTTAAATCATAAATTGGTTTATTCAACCGATCAAATCGAATTGAACAATTATATCAACTGACTAATTACATCAAAAAATCAAATATTTTTTATGGTGTTTGTAGATATAACAATGTTGAAGTCATAAAATAATTTTAGTGAAATAACACTAAAAGACTAATATTTTCAGTCTTATACTACGGATATGACACTTGGCTTCTAATGTGCCGGTTATCACAAATATTTTTCTAAAGGTGCTCAAATTTAATTTTTTTTTTTTCAAAAGGGTCCATCCTTTCTCTTCTCGGGTATTTCCAGCTCTCCGGCCTATAAAACTGGCCTCTTGGTTTCCTGTTCTATTCATTCTTTCCCCTTGCCTTCCTCTCTTGCCTCTATTGACTCTCTTGATTGATTCAGATTATTTTTTGAAATGGACCTCCTCACAAAAGAGCAGATCGCCGAGTTCCAGGAAGCCTTCTGCTTCTTTGACAAGGATGGAGATGGTATGCTTTCTCTCCCTGTGCTTTGATTCATGTCTTTTGGTCTAATATGGTTACTGCACAAAGGATTAAAGCTTCGTTTTTTTCTTCTTGATTGCCCTTGCTGAATGATGGATTGGGCGCTTTGTTTTCTTACATTTTCTTTTAATTTCTCGCATTCTGAATGTGGTATGAAGCTTTTCATTTAGGCTAATTATTGCATCCCGACTAGAGAGATGCGTTCGGAGCTCTCTCTGTCTACAGTGAAAGCGTAGGTACTGTAGCATACATGTGCTTCACCTGCGCTTTACTGTAGACAGAGAGAAATCTCTCTGTCAGAAGACCGGATGCAATAATTTGCCTTGTTTGTTTGACTGCTAAATCATAATCTTTACAGCAAAATGTGGTGATATATTTTCAGCTAAAAGCAGCCTAAGAGCTGCAAATATCCAACAAAAGCTATGCTCCCCCTATCGCAGATAATTTAAGTTTTTTTTGTTTCTCTTGTGTTTGCAATTTATTTGACCTTACTTAAAACATAACCCGCCTTGGGTTCGGGTCAACCCGGCACGACCCGCTAAACATAGCCTCACGTGGTTTCGCGGGCACGACAGGGCTCGTTGGCGGTGCGCAAGTGCGGCAGGCAAGCGATAGCATGCAGTCTTAGGTCGTGAGGGATGACGCCGACAAGCAGGCAGCGCCGGGCCGCCGGCTAAGCCACGAGGAACGACGCCGACTCTATGACTTGATTAAATTGATTTAGACAACATTGGGTGTACATGAGACTAAGAAGAAATTCATACATAATATTTTTCAGCATTCCATTTTCAAACTCCTGACCTCAATCTTGTGAACAATATCTAACTGAATTTGCGATACAGGCCGTATCACCATTGATGAGCTCGCAAGCGTCATCCGATCATTAGACCAAAATCCTTCTAAAGAAGAGTTGCAGGACATGATCGATGAAGTAGATTTCAATAGAAACGGCACAATCGAATTTGTGGAGTTCTTGAGCCTAATGGCTCGGAAAATGAAGGTCTTATATACTATCTATCCTCTTTATTAGCCTCTCTACAGCCTGGGCAATCAAATTTGTTTCTGCTGCAAAGCCAATACAAGCAGTTCAAAAATATTTGCAGGAAACTGACGCTGAAGAAGAGCTGAAGGAGGCCTTCAAGGTTTTCGACAAGGATCAAAACGGCTATATTTCAGCCAGTGAGGTAAATAGATAATAATGCAATTCTTATATGCTTGAGGTTATAACGTGCAAATTTTTTTGGCTATGCCATTGGAGAAATTATTAGGTGCGGATATTGAACGGAGAGAACCATCTGATTTTTCTCTCTGTTTATAGTAAAAGAGCAGTTGCTACGGTAACTGTGTTTTTATTGTAGACAGAGACAAATTTGGATGAATCTCTCTGTCCGGTGTCCGCACTTAATAATTTGCCTTACCATTGAGGCTTTGATATCAAATAGGGGTGTAAACAAGTTGAGCTGAGCTCACCTTAACTTGAACATGAGTTTGATTAATTAATTGAGTTCGAGCTCTAGCTCGAGCTTAGTTCTATAAATTGGAGTTGACTCATTCAAACGAAAGAGATAAAATGATTTTGATTCAAGTAATTATTATAATGAAATTATAAAAAAAATAGAAATTATAAGATAAATAATAAAGAAACACTTGACATAAGAAAGGTAAGATATAATTTTTCAATGGATTTGAGAACTTTATATTTGAAATTTGAATTCTAATATGTTTTTTGTGTATTTAGAGTAATATTTTTTTACAGAAGCTAACTCATGAGCTAAGTCAGGTCGAGGTAGCTCCAGCTTGGCATTTTAGCTCATGGAGCTCGACTTACGAGTCATTTATCGATCCGAGCTCGAGTCGGCTTGACTCACTTACACCCTTAATATCAAAGTCAGAGTTGTTGTTAATGATCTAAATCTTGAACGAATGATTTGATTTGAGTCTATCGAATCCAATGCCTGAAAGTTCAAAATCATGAAATTTGATCGAATATTGAATGATCTAATTTGAGTCGAACCGAACACGAAAATTTTATTCAATCTTCGATCGATCTTTAATATTTCAAATTAAATGTCTGTTTTGTCCAAATATATTTGATTTCAATAGAATTATGAAAGGCAAAATCTGAGGATAATATTTTCTTGTTTGCCAGTTGAGAAATGTGATGATAAATCTTGGGGAGAAATTGACTGATGATGAAGTGGATCAGATGATCAGAGAAGCTGATATGGACGGTGATGGGCAGGTCAACTATGAGGAGTTCGTCCGAATTCTGATGGCCGTCTGATCATTTCCTCGAATAGTGATGGCCGTCTGATCATTTCCTCTCACAAGCTTTAATTTGGTGTTTTTTTTATTTTAGCAATTAAGAATTAGCAGATAAAAAATTAATCTCACTGTGTTCTGCTGATAATAATAATAATAATAATAATAATTTCTTCTTTGTCAGCTGAACTATTTGAATAGTAAAATTATTTCAGAAAACAGATTTTCAGCAAAATTGCTTTGAACAAGGATCGAATTAACTTCTGTTTTAAGCTTAGAATTCGGCCATTAGATGTGAAATTAAATTTTAAGAAGGTTTGAATCAGGCTAAGGAGAAATTGACTGATGATGAAGTGGATCAGATGATCAGAGAAGCTGATATGGACGGTGATGGGCAGGTCAACTATGAGGAGTTCGTCCGAATTCTGATGGCCGTCTGATCATTTCCTCGAATAGTGATGGCCGTCTGATCATTTCCTCTCACAAGCTTTAATTTGGTGTTTTTTTATTTAAGCAATTAAGAATTAGCAGATAAAAAATTAATCTCACTGTGTTCTGCTGATAATAATAATAATAATAATAATTTCTTCTTTGTCAGCTGAACTATTTGAATAGTAAAATTATTTCAGCAAAATTGCTTTGAACAAGGATCGAATTAACGTCTGTTTTAAGCTTAGAATTCGGCCATTAGATGTGAAATTAAATTTTAAGAAGGTTTGAATCAGGCTAAGGCTTTGTTTGGGAAAACTTTTTTATTGCTTTTTAAAACAGTTTTTTAGCATAAAAATTTTTTGAATTAAAAAATTTTATACTAAAATGCTATTTTATGAAGCAGCATGAAAGCTATCTCAAATAAAGTCTAAGACTTCGTTTGGGATGATTTTTTTATTGCTTCTTAAAGCAATTTTTTTTGTACAAAAAATAAAATTTTGGTACTAAAAACTGCTTTAATTTAGAATAGATTTTCTACTTCTTATTAAAGCTGTTTTTTAGTACACAAATTTTAATTTTTATAGTAAAAAATTTTTAAGAAGCAGTAAGAAAGTGTCTCAAAGGAAGCTTAAGAACTTGTAATAGGAGTTTGAATCTTCAAATTTAATTTGAACTTTGTTCGAATAGTCTTCGCATTATGTGTTACAAACCTTGAATAGGTTCGATCAAGATTCGAACCAAATATAACAAGTTTGAACCCTTTTTATTCTAAATATCTTATATGTAATATGTCACAACTAATCATTTCTATGTGGGCATTAAGAATATTGATAGTTATTCGTTGGTGTTCTTACTTGTAAATCTTACGTTGATATTATCGTTTTCTACATCATTATCTTATTATCTTAGGTTTCGTTTGATTAGAAGTTTTTGGTGCTTATTCCGTTTTAAAACGACAAATTCCTTTCTTCTTTATTGGTTGAGTCGTCAAATCAAGTTCCCAATAACTTCTTTTGTTTCATTTTTTTTTGTTTTGAGAAGTTTTTTTATATGCTTCTCTGTTAGAAAACTCCATTTTCTGAACCAATATTTCTTAAAATTATCTTTTACAAAAGTACCAAAAAATCAAACGAAACCTTAGCAAACATTCTTTACTTTGCGGATTCTAAAAAATCGTTAGTACATTTATATGTGAGACATTTGGATGGATGATTATTTAATTATATATATATATATATATATATATATATATTTTTCTATATTAAAAATTTAACAAAAATAAATAAATAAAACCATCAATGTAATCTCAAGCCTGAAAAAAACATTATGAGCAAGGGTGAATCACGAAGATCTCATATGATAATAATAATAATAATTTTAAAAAGTTAACAGGTCATTAAAACAGTTAACACAACACGATTATTCGAATTATGAAACCTATTGTGTGGCACTGTGTCCATAGTAATGGGATTTTTATTAGGTCCGGTGTCCTGACGTAGCTCTACGTTCGGACGCCAGTAAAATGGTGCCACGTAGCGGCCACTTTATCGTAGGCCCGGCCCACCGAAAAGTGGGTATATAGCACGTGCATTTTTTGAAAGATGACGGCCCGACTACCCGACACTGAAAAAAGATAGGTATCGCTAGGTACATCCTCGGTACCGCTCAGTACATGCTTGGTACTGCTAGGTATCGCTAGGTACATGCTCGGTATTGCTAGGTATCTCTAGGTACATACTCGGTACCGCTTAGTACATGCTCAGTATCGCTAGGTACATGCTCGGTACCGAGCATGTACATACTCAGTACTGCTAGGTAGTATGTACATGCTCGGTATCGCTAGATACATGCTCGATACTGCTAGGTATTGAGCATGTATTGAGCGGTACTGAACATGTGCTAAGTGGTACCGAGTAGCACGAGTTCTTTAAACCATAAATCCTGCATAACGTTTATAGTTCGAATAAGTCGCCAACAGGTTGTAAGACCTTTAAAGAAGGCGGGAGTTTTAACTTTTCGCGCCCAATTCATATATATGACATCGGGCCAACCCCAAATAGTTAAAACACGTGCAAAATCTACAAAATACAACGGGTTTGGATCGGGACATCGGGCTGCTACGTGGCGCCATTATACTAGACCTAATAAAAATTCATAGTAACGACTAAAGAAGCTGCCATTTGCATCCAATATATAGAAGAGAGAGCTGGAAAAATACCAATTTCCAACCATGTCATTCTTGGATTCATGTGCTCAATTTATTTTACTTTGCCTTTATTATTATTATTATTTCTTTATAATTAAGGACATCAAATGTGAATCAAAATGGACAAAAACATTTAGTTAACAAAACACAGCTTGATTCGCTTTGTTTTTTTATTTTATTTTATTTTATTTTTACTTTGGTATAATTATCATATATTTCATAATTTCCTTATAACATAGAGTTAAGAATATAAAAATCACAACTTATTTGGGTGAATAATTTATACAAATTTGACTTGCGTAGGCAAACTAGAATTGAAACCTATATAATCTTAGAAGTGGAACATAAAAGAAATTATTTGAATAGTAATATAGTCGAAGTGTCAAAAAAATATGATTACTTTTAAGAAAGGTTTAATGTTCCTCATATTGATCCATTAAATCTTTTCATAAATCTCAATGCATTATTTCCTTTGATTAATCGGTTTGATGAACTACAGCTAGACCGAAGGGACAACTAGCTTGCCTACATCAATTCCCTAGGTGGAGAAATATCATCCCTGATGAGATAATTTCAGAACTTCCATTATGTGCTGATTTAGTCATATCAAATTCCTGAATTAAATAGCACACTTCATTTGGATCATCTCTTTTTATTGTTTAAACTAGGCTTGAAGTAGACGCTTCCTATTTTTATAACATTATCCTTTAAACTCTTATCTATAATAACATCTACACCATTTCTAGTACGACTCTTACCCGAATACCAAAGTTTAAATCCTAAACTATCAATTTCCTTAGCCTTCTCTCCAACCCATTTAGTTTCCTGAATGCACAAAATATTTAACTTCCTATGAATCATAATATCTATTAATTCCATTAATTTTCCTGTAAGAGAACCTATATTCCAAGTTCCTATCCTAATTTTAGTTTCATGGACTAGCTTCTTTGCCCACATTCGTCATTGACGTGGGAACCCTTGCCTATTTAACACTGCACCCGGGCACCGGTGCAGCGGCCCTTGCACACTTGTCACTGTATTCAGGCCATACAGCGCGTCGCTTCCAGGGGACGCCCTAGCATTAACACAATTCATTAAGAGAGTCTTTGTTTCCAATATCAAATAATCATTATTCCTGATATCATTGATTAAGTAGCAATTTGTAGTATCTTTTCATATTTTTTTTTTTTTTAAGTTGTCTAAGGTTTTGTTGAACAATAACTTTATGACTATGTCTCAAAAATTTATGGGGTCAGGAGCACCCTCTTATAAAACGTGTGGAAGTGGTAATAAAATTGATTTTTTTTTTGTGCAAAAAATATTTTTGCAAAAAAAAAGTATTCCTTCGCTTACAATTTAGATAAAAATAGATAAAACCAACAATACTATTATAAAGAGATATACTTAACAGCTTCAACTTGTAAGCAAAAAAACAACACCTCCATAGGACATAACATCATCAATTTATATAAATTATGAGAAGAATGATAGAGATGGGGCAGAAATCATGGATACAGAAGAAAATGTAGAAAATTGAGTTGAAATAAAAGAGGGAAAGGGTAGAGAGGAAAGGAGGCTAGCTCGCAATCTATAATAAAACCAGCATGCTATATTCCAAAAATCAGTCACACACCTTCAAAACAGTGGGAACCAACTCCAATTTATAGGAATAAAAGGGAAAATGAGTAAAAAAATACTTGTAGTTAAAGCACCTCACATCCAACCAATATGAGCACCTCAAAACTGCAACTAGCAGGGGCCAAAGGAACAGTCGCCACGGGGGAAAATGAAGCACCGGGGGGGGGGGGGCTTCTCGTTAACACAGCTTAATGTGAAGAGAAAAAATCTACAGCAAGACCGAAGGGACAATTAGCTTGCCTACATCAATTCCCTAGGTGGAGAAATATCATCCCTAATGAGATAATTTCAGAACTTCATTATGTGCTGATTTAGTCATATCTAATTCCTGAATTAAAGTAGCACACTTCATTTGGATCATCTCTTTTTATTGTTTAAACTAGGCTTGAAGTAGACGCTTCCTATTTTTATATTGTTTTGTACATAAACACATTTTCTCTTGTATTTTATAAAGTTCGTTCTGAAGTGGATCAGTAGAACATCCTTGTGACGAAACTCATTTGGTTGTTGGAATTTTCTCTTACGGAATAGTTAACATAGAATGTTGACTTTCAAAATCTACATAATTAAATTCATCATGAGACTCCTTACATCATGATTTGAAGCTTCTGCGTGTACATTTTTTTTAAAATATTTCTAAAGAAAAAGAAAGGAAGACTCACAAAAAACTAATGCTCTGATACCAAATTAGTGCAAAAAAAAAGTCTTCATTCTCTTACAATTCAAACAAATGTAGATAGAATGAACAATACTATTATAAAGATGCACACTAAACAACTTCAACTTGTAAATAAAAAAACAACACCTTCATAAGGCATAACACCATAAACTTGTATAAATTATGAGAAGAATGATACAGA